ATGACGTGCCTTGATAACACTGCATCGCGCTGACACATCATCTCTCCCCTTTTAAAAGCCATAGTGTTCAGGTGGTTTCCGTGGCCGACTTGATCTTTGCAGGAGTGGTGGTGTTGGGAAGGCTGATCCTGTCACCGTTTTTTTCGGGCTTTCTTGCACAGCTTTGGCGGTACCTTCGACTGGTTCCTGCTTTTGTTTTCTGCCACGGTCACTGTCCACCGATTCTGCTCGATGTCTCAGTTTATCTAGATGCCATCGGTGCAGTTCTTGAGCACAATCCACAGTCACCATTCTTGAACCTTGGTGGTCTTGCACTACTCCTGGAATCCACCTTCGACTTCTTCCAAAACTGCGCATCCAAATCGGGTCACCTTCATTGAACTTTCTTGTCCTTGTTGTTGCAAACAATCAGCATGCTTTTCTTTGGGCTTGATGCTGTCTATCTTTGTTCTGAATCTGGTAACCCAGCAAACGTTTTGCCGGTGACTTCCCATCTTCTTGCAGAGTTCGGCAGTATCTGCACAAAAATTGATCCAATCTTGTTATCAAGTCAAATCCCGGATTTTTTTTTAATCCTTCCTTGAGCGTGCGCACCTCTCTCTCGGCTAAGCCACTTGATTGCGGATGATAGGGTGCTGTTGTTATTTGCTGTATATTGTTACGTGTCAAGAACTCCCGCAAAGACGAGCTCACGAACTGTGGTTCATTGTCTGACATGAACGTTTTTGGAAGCCCGAACCAAGCATATATTGAACGAAGAGCTCTGATGGTAATTTTAAATGTGGTAGTTTTCATTGGCACCGCTTCAATTTATTTCGTTTCCGAGTCTACGATGACCAAGACCATGTGGTCGTCCACTGGCCTGAGGAAATCGGCATGCAGCCAGCTCCAGCTCTCGCCGGTCGCTGGCCAGGATACAGGCACCTGAGCAGGCGGCGTCGCGGAAGCCTCTGCACAAACATCACATGATTTGACCAGTCGCTGAATGTCAGAGTCTAGTCCCGGGTACCAGAATAGCGTCCTGGTGATACTCTTCATGGCAACTATACCGGGATGAGTTTCATGCAGCAGGCTTAGTGAGCGTCTTCTTTCCGCTACGGGTACAACAATGCGATGGCCCCAGTACACCAAATTGTCACTTACGGTCAGATCCGTCCTTCTGTTGAAGTATGGCCGGCACTGCTCGTGGTGTTGGGGTCGGAACCGCGGCCATCCCTGTAAAATCCACTCTCTGACCTGTTGAAGAGTAGGGTCTCGATCGATCATTTGTTTCATCTCTCGGGCGCACATAGCTGTTTACTCCATCGATTGGGCAAACAAAACATACTCCCGTTCATCGGAATGGCCTTCCCGTGGCTCTGTAACCGGCAGAGGCAACCGGCCGAGGGCATCTGCGTTTGAACGTTCACTGCCCTTACGATACTGCACTGTATAGCTGTAGTTAGAGAGAAACAAGGCCTAACGATGAATCTGAGTGGCTGCCATCGGTGGTATCGACTTTCTTGGATTTAATAACCCAGTAAGAGGTTTATGGTCAGTCACCAAGACAAACTTATGACCGTACAAGTAGTCTTTGAACCGTGAAACCCTGAACACAAGTGCTGGGGCCTCCTTTTACAACTTTGAAGAATTACATTCTGCCTTTGTAAGTGTTTTCTGGAACGGAAGCCAATCGGGTAATTAACACCATTGACACGATGGGACAAAACTGCTCCAACACCTACTGGGGACGTGTCGCACTCTAGCTTCAACGGCTTATCAGGATCAAAATGGGCCAAAAAAACTTGGACGCTTCTATTGCCTCTTTAACTTTTCGAAACCATTCTTTGTGCTCCTGCTTCCACTACCATCTGGCCCCTTTTTGGAGAAGCATGTACAATGGTGCCAGTGTGGTCACTAGGTTCAGCAAGAATTTGCCGTAATAGTTCACAAGACCCAAAAATGCTTTCAGCTCACTCACTGATGTCGGCTCCGGCGCTTCGCGATTGGCCTTGATGTTCTCGTCTTTCGGTCGAAGTTCGTTAGCGTTGATACGATGGCCTAGAAAAGGAATCTCGCCTTGTCGAAATCTGGATTTTTTCCTTGTGCAACCGCAGGCCATATTCCCATAATCTCTGAAAGACTTGACGCAGCCGCGACATGTCACTTCGTTTTTCCCCGACATTGATATCATCCAGATACACCTGTACTCCTGGAATATTGCTCAGAAATGCATTCATCCATCTATGAAACATGGCTGGTGCGAAACTCACACCAAAAGGCAACTGTTTGAAACAGAAAAGACCATTTCGCATGTTCAATGCTGCTATTTTCTGGAGTCTTCATCCAACGGTAACTGGTTGTAAGCCTGGCGTTGGTCCAACGTTGTGAAAACGTGCCCGCCGTTCAGCTTTGCAAAAATGTCGTTCACTCGCGGCAACAGGTACTGCTCCGTCACATTGGCCACGTTGACAGTCATCCGAAAATCTCCGCAGATTCTGAGCGACCCATCCTTCTTTAGTGTTGCCCACTGGTGTTGCCCACTCGGCAGTTTTCACGGGTGTAATGACGTCTTGGGCTACTAGCTGATCTAGTGCTTCTGACATCTTGTCCCGCAAAGCGTAAGGTACGGTGCGGGCCTTGAAAAACCACGGAACTACTTTGTCACCGGCGGTCCCTTACAAAGTCCAAGACCGCGAACAAAGACAGCAGCATATTTGCTGAGCAGGGCCTTTAGTTACGTGTTGCCTTCATTCAATTTAATTGGGTGCACGCTCGAGACGACGTTTGTCAGCATGGAAACTCCGATTTCATTAAAAGCCTTTATCGTGTCTCTGCCTCATAACGATAGTCCCGTGCTGTCAACCACTATGACTGTGCCTTGCATATATTTGTCGTCGCATCTGGCTGTCATGAGTAGCTGTCCAAGCACTGGAAGTTCGCCCAATAGGCAGGACAGTTTTAGCTGCATTTTTCGCAATGGCGGCCACTTCGTTTTGTACTTCCGAAACACCGATGCTGAAATGATGCTTGCAGGTGATCCAGTGACCACCAGCATTGTCAGAGGAACGCTATCCCAGGTTACTACTTTGTAAATGGGTTTCACCTTGCCGATGCTTGCTTCTTAATGACAAAGCCTCACTATCATCCGAAGCCTCACTATCATCCGAAGTTGAGCAGTCTTCCGCTGTCACTGCTTACACCCCTTGCCGTCGTACATCCGCATGTGAGCTCTGTCGGTGACCCGACGTGACTGACTGACACGTTCGTTTCAAGCGGCCTCGTTTGCCGCACCTGTGGCACACCGTGCGCAGGTGTTTACAAGCCTCTGATACATGTTTCTCGCTACCACACCAACCACAGCGGCTGCGAGTATTCAGTTTCGGTCGCAATTTCTTAGTACGGTTCCTCTGGCGTGCGAAATTTACCGCACCTTGGTCGGTAGAATGCATTATTTTGGGCGTTTTCTGTGGTGTCTCAAGCCGAAATAGCAAAGCATTCTGCCTGTTTTAGCGTGAGCTTTCGTCGCATCAATAAATGTCGCCTGACGTCTTCATCGTGCACGCCACACACAATTCGGTCCCTCAGCATGCGCTCTAACAATGTCCCGAAATTGCACTTCTCCGCCAGCCGCCTGATTTCGACAATGAAGTCCTGAACAGACTCACCAGCCTTTTTTGTTCGCATGAAGAAGGCATACCTTGCCGCGGTCTCGTTGACATGCGGGGTGTAATGTTCTTCCAAATACCCGGCAACTTCGTCGTAGCTGAGCTCGTTGACTTTCTTCGGGTGGCAACGCCCCTGAATGACTCCCACTGCACTGTTCGTTAGTGGCGATATCAAGAGTGCCCGTTTCTTTGCTTCGCCTGCGATGTTATGAGCTTCAAAGTAAACCTCCAAACGAACACGATATGATGGCCTGGTATCATCCACCCGTCCTAATTCGGCCGGCTGCCCGGCACTCATGATTGCGTGGGTCTGCTCGTAGCCATTGTTATGTCGCTGTCCAGATACTACAAGGAAGCTAGATTATGCAACAAGAACGATGGTTTATTGAGCAGCTTGTATATATACTAAACGCCTGTGACGTTGCCGTGACGTGTCTTGATAACACTGCATCGCGCTGACACATCAATGAGCATAAATGACTAATCATAACATGAAAATCATGACATGTATGTCATGATTGACATGTCATGGTCTTGCTGCTCTTGTGGTGGTTTTGTTTACATGACATATTGCAAAACCGGTACGGTTTGACATGACTGCATGGTGAACGTAAGTGACAGGCCCTAAGAAGGAAATCATGACATTCACGTCATGTGAGTCAGGACTTCACGCCACGCTTATGGTGCACTCGTGGTCATTTCGCTAGCTTCACATATACGATATTCGGTATTACGAGGCATGAATGGATGACAAAGGTATCTGACTGGTGCAAACATGATAATCATGAGATGCTTGTCATGTAGAGAATGACTACATGACACGCTCATGATGCACTCACGGCTGTTTCCCTGGCTTTACATATACCAAATTTGGTATCACGTGACGTGAATGGATGACAAAGGTATATGGCTGGTGCAAACATGATAATCATGACATGCTGTCACGTACTTATCTTGGGAATGCTTGCATCGGATGGAATTGAGAAAGTCGAAAGACTGGCGTGGCACAAACAACACACACTTTATAACCCAAATGATAAAAGGCAAAGATTGAAAGTGAAAACGAAACAAACACTCGCTGACAAAATTATCCCATTAACAATAGGTGGTATTCACCTCCGAGCAACCCTGTGCTCCTACAGCCTACGCCTAGGCATATACGCACAGCATGCAGATAATGCAGGGAAGGCACTACTTCCTGCTGCCATGACTAGGGCCGTGTACACTGTGTGTGCCTCTGCGTGATACTAAAGTTGAGCCATTTTTTTTGCGCTCATTATTCGTTATCATGTTTGATTGTACCATGTTTGTGTGAAGCCATCACTCAAAATTGAAGGGTGACGAGCCTAAAAATGCAGCAAAGCCGGTTATATTTTATTCCTTGCCGAACATTATTCGTGATCATGTAGCTATACGCTGGAGGTTGCGGCGAAGCGTCATGGCGAGTGATTCAGCCCTCTTCACCAGGCTGATTTTAACAAGGCTGTTGGGTGAGTTCTTGAGAGTGGTTCACCTGCGAATGGAAACTCTGTTGAGTTTGGATTCTCACAGCTATGAGTAATTCAGACGCGTACGAAACGCGAGAATAACGAAATCACAATAACACAGTAAGTGCAGTCAGTTTTAATGCTGTGGCAGAGACGTCTGCGAAAAGTACAACACATCGGAGTACTTAATGTTGGACTACCCATATTAATACATGCACTGTACACTGCGAGCTTGGTGTCTCTTCTCTTAGTAGAAGAAATGTGGAATTATATGGATGATGACGAGGAAGACAATCAAAGACTTCCATCTGATGCACTAGAAGTATCTATAGTTCATGCATCGTACACTGCTGAGCGGCGGACAGTCGCCTTGTATGGTATGTGGCAGGCTATGTTGCGAGAAAGCTTTCACTTAGTAATAATCGTGATGAGTTTGAAAACACTTGTCTTGTTTCCTGGGTTTGCGGTAATGCCTTACAAGTAACACCGTTACTGTATATTAGCACGTTACTTTTTCCTGGTAATTTAGCAACTAAAGTACTCATTTCCATGTAGGTATAGAGCTGTTGTCTAAAATCTACAAGTGTTAGTTGTCAGGAAGCCATCACTATGGTAGTGCTATTTATTTGTCAGTCCTGTTTTCAAAATGATATGTGCTTCTGCTGCTTTGTACAGGTCACGGAAAAGTTGTTGAATACTTGAGAAAGCGAAACTCACCCGAACGCCTGCCTTCGCATAAACGTGGCAATATTCGGGACACCTAGATGAAAGGAGCAAAAATTATTTATGCTGCAAATATAGTTTTCTGAGGGACTAAATAGTTTAAGAATTTCTTTATTTGTACAAGAATGTATGCTGCCAAGATTACTGTGAATTTGTTGAGAGATCACGGATGATTTTTTTTTCGGAGAGGGTTGATGATGAAATCTCATTTTCTGCTTGCTGTGAAAATGAGAAATTAATTTCACATGTGCCACAATGTTCGTTATAAACCGTTATAAACCTACGGTAAACATCATGCCACTGCATGCATTATATAGGTCGGGCATCTTGTTCTAAGTTTCCTAGTTATATCAGTAATTCACCTGAAATATTTGTTTTGTGCAGAGCCTTCATCTGAAGTGTAAACACGAGGTGTATGTAATTGTGATTTTGGCTCCCGCAGCGAGGGCACAGAAAAGTAACGTGCATTATTTTTCTCATGATAACGGTATCGCGTAACCTTTTTTTGTAGATAATGTAGTGTGGTAATTCGATTCTTTTTCGTAAGCATTAGGAAGCAACATATTAATTTACTTTTCAAATGTAACTCATTGTGATGAGTAAAGGAGAGGCACAAGGTGCGTGCTGAATATGGAGGCGTGGCCACGGTGTGCGAGGAGAAAAGAGTCGCCCGAGTGCACGCGCACCAGACACGTAGGTGGAGGAGATTGGTCAGAGACAGGCTCATGGCATGTGACCCGAGCCGAGAAGAAAAATCCCAAGGGGTGAATTGGCACTGGGTGTTGGGACGCCAAGCTGCGAAGATGTGGGAAACGAGCGTAGCCACCGCGACGGAAATAGTAGAACCACCCAGTTCTGAGGATGTGAACGAAGAGGCTCGGGGAGAGGTCGTAGATATTGGAAAAGTCGAGTGAGGCTGCCCGGGCTTGCCACAACCTGTCACAGCAGTTTCTGGGTGGACTACAGCTCCTCCGCTTCGAGACAGAACGTATGTAGCCCGCACCACAGTCAAGACGCCATTAACGAGTTAGGCATAGTCTAACTGAGCCAGAGAACGCAACGAAAACCAGGAACTAACCAGCAATGAGGTCGAGTCGCTCGTTCAGCGAAAAAGGATGACGGCTGTAGGCACTTTGGAAGACGTCGACGACAGAAGCGACGATCCGTCAACATAGCAAGGGGCAACGAGTTCCAACGAGTTGCAACGCGACGAGCCGTAAGAACACTTTATTGTTGACGCCATATTAGGTTAGAGCTAGCAGCTAGGGCTAGTAATGGATTGGGATCGAGCCACAGACGATTTAGGTTTGCCCATGTGTGCGAATGGTTATTGAGAATTATTAAGCTATTGATGACTATTGGGTTTTTAAATAATATTGAGTGTTTTTTAATGCAAATTTTATGTATCTTTCTTGCTCCATTTTGGGTGATAAAGTGTGCTTGTATTGCTACACTCGTGTCTCCCGTCTTTCAAATCCATCCTTCGCAAGCGCTCTTCAGATAAAATTAATCATGACATGCTGAAGCGTGTTGTTCATAGTTATTTTCAAATTGCAGTTTAACGCCGTAGCTAGGTGATGACATCATTGCTATGTGATGACATCATATGGTCATCCAAGAGTCCGTGGGCGTCTTCTGTGGTGTTAATGAAGAAGAAGGATGAAACATTACACTTTTGCTTCGACTATCACCACCTCAACAAGATTATAAAGAAGGGACCCTCTCCCAAGGATAGTCAGGTGCCCTTGGTCAACTCCACAATGCGAAATACTTTTCATCTATAAACTTCAAGACGGGCTTCTGGGAAACCGAAATAGACGAGAGAGACTGAGAAAAGACTGTCTTCATAACACCAGACTGGCCTCTTCAAGTTGAAGGTCATGCCCTTTGGTCTTTGTGCGACACCTGCGACATTTTAGCATGTTATGGACATCGTGCTAGCTGAATTGAAGTGGCACACTTGCTCCGTGTACTTGGACTATGTCGCCGTGTTTTCATTAAGCTTCGACAAGCATCGCCGGAGCCTTGAAGCTTGTGGGATCTCAACAGAGGCACGCTCTCGGAGCACGCGAGCACAGTAGACGCGATCGAACCAATTCAAACAACACATTCATTTAACTGTTTTTGAAATGACAATATCATCAGCCAAATCGAAATACATCACTCAACATGCTAGAACAATTTTACACAATACTCCAATACACTTAACCAAACATAAGAAAAATACACAAGGTACGACGAAGGCGGCACCGCCAACACTAGACTCACCACAAAGGCCCACAGCAGACGACCTCACTACGAGGGCCATCGGCAGACGACTCGCGGTGCCGTCCGCCTATCGACCTATCGTGGGAGATAACCGTTTGCGCCAACCGCCACATGCCAAAGGGCACTGCAGATATTTTGCCTCCAGCCAGCCTCGCGCCAGGCATCACTGCGAGCACTACTGCACTAACCATGATGATGATAATAGTGGTGATAAATGTCCGCGAGTTCAACGCCACCTACCGCTCGCTAGTTGTGAACCCTAAATGCGGCCTACTCGCGGGCCATGTGGACACCATAAGGCGCAAACGACCTTATAGGGGGTAATAGTGCTCTTACAAGCTGTACTTCAAGCAATAAAGACCTCCAGACTCATCCTGAAGCCAAAAAATGCCACTTAGCATACGAGAAACTCTTGTTCTTGGGTCACGTGCTAAGCAAGTCAGAAGTACACCCCGACCCACAGAAAACAACTGCCATCGCTGCATTCTCGCCACCTGCCAACAATAAAGCCGTAAGTCGTTTTCTTGGCCTATGCATCTCTTACTGGTATTTCTTACAAAACTTTGCCCATATCGCCGAGCCACTTACAAAACTAACAATAAAGTGGGAAATGCCCTAGGAGAAAGCATTTCAAGAACTAAAACGACACCTGCAGCTGCTGCCGATACTTGCGCACTTAGAAAAATGCAGTGACACGAAAATCCACACTGACGCAAGCAGTGTAGGGCTCAAAGACGTCCTAGTGCAGAAGATTGATGGACTTGAAAGGGTCATTAGTTATGCAAGCTGGTCGCTATCTTAGTCGCGAGTCAACTTGTCCACAACAGAAAAGGTGTGTCTTGCCATCATTTGTGTTACAACTAAGTTAAGCGGCAGGCCTTTCAAAGTTGTGAGCGACCACCATATTCTATATTGACTAGCTAACTTGAAGGGCTCTTCAGGTCACATGGTATGATGAAGTCTACGACTTCAGGAATCCAACATCACCGTTGTTTAGAAGAAGTCGGGACGAAAGCACTCTGATGCTGACTGCCTGTCCCGTGCGCCCGTTGACCCACCTCCACAGGAAAACGAGGACGGCCACTGCTTCTTGGGAAACCTAAGTGTCGATGATTTTGCCAAATGACAGCAAGCCGACCCTTAAATCAAGGGCTTAGTAAATTGTTTCGAGGGCAAGACTGCCATTATTTCAAAGGTATTGAAGCGAAGACTGGTGCCATTTTTTTTTTCACAAAACAGCATCCTCGTTAGAAAAAAAGAACTCACCACATTGGGCCAACTACCTCATTATAGCGCCTTCGAAATTACGTGCAGAAGTTCTATTTGCTCTGATGGCTGGACGCCCTAAACTTTTGCGTACCCTGGCGAGGATACAGAAAAAGTACTAATGGCCCTGCCTCTCGCTGCCGAACGCTTCTCGCTACGTAAAAATCTGCTGACATCATCAGCGACGAAACACACCTGTTGTAGGGGTGCCCGCCGCTGTCAGTCGGTGATCGGTGAAAGAAAGGAGGCGACGGCAGTCCAGGCGATCGGCAAGCAAGAAAAGCCCCGCCGTTCATTTTTTAGCGGTTTAAGTAGCAACTGTGACGTCAGTACCACGTGTTTCCATACAAGGGCCAGGCACGGTGAATCGGCACGTCATGTAGGATCGCGCTTTCAGCACACGGGAAACACATTCCAGCACATCTCCCTTTTGCAAAATAACAATGGTTTTGCCCGTCGAATATAGAACATTCATACACGAACAAAACCCAGTACCCTTAGCGGTAATGAACCACGAACAAAAGCTTATTCATCAATACCGTAGCGAACCGGTCGCTTAATCACTCTGCCAGACCTGGTCACAGTCACGGAAGCGGAAGGTACTGACGTCGAAATCACGGCCTCAGAATCTGTAGGCACTGAAGCACACGTTGAGGCGGCGGGTGGCGCCCTTTCCATCGAAACAAGTTGGCTGACTCGCTTTCGTTTGGGAACTCGTAGCTGCCTTCACGCTTCCCCTGTTGTGGCATGCGGTTCAGCATTCGTCTGTTACGCCACAGCGTAACCCCATCCTCTGTTCGTATTATGTAGGAACGGGGAGTAGCGGCTGTCGCTAGCACAGTTCTTCTGGCTTTCATATCCATTACTCAAACAGAATCACCTGGTGTTAGTTTATTCAACTTCCTGCCTCGGTGGCGTTTGTTGTAGTACTGTGCTTGCAACTTTTTGTTGGCTCTGTCTTTGGTCGCAAGAGTAAGCAGTGGTGGCTGCACTGGATCACGGAGCTGCGGTGCCATTGGAACTCTTGTTCGAAGATGCCGGCCCATAAGGATTTCCGCCGGGCTAGAGCCGAGGACGCCTGGAGTTGCCCTGTAGGCAAGCAGAGCCAAGTATGGGTCCTTGGATTTGAGTATCAGGCGCTTAATCGTTTGAACCATGCGTTCTACTTCCCCATTAGCCTGAGGGTACCCAGGGCTTGCAGTGACGTGACCAAAGCCGTAATTATGGGCAAACCTCTCAAACACGGTACAAGAAAACTGTGGTCCATTATCTGTCATCACCGTCTCCGGAATGTCATGACGTGCAAAAATGCTTTTTAGCATTTTTATAACCACACCAGTTTTCGTTGAGGGAAGAAGAGCTACTTCCAGATAACGCAACAGATAGTCGACCACGATAAGGTAGTGACAGTTGTTGACAAAACACAAGTTGAACCCAACTCGTTCCCACGCGAAACTTGGCGTTAAGGTTGAGATAAACGGCTCACAGTTCTGGGTGACGAACCACGCACAAGTAACACATTCATTTACTTGCTGTGCGAGTTGTTCGCCGAGGCCTGGCCACCAGACTAGTTCTTTCGCCAAAGCTCTTGTTTTTGAGATGCCCTGATGCCCATCATGGAGCTTGGTTAGTACTTCTTTTCTTAGGCATTGAGGTACTACCAATCTAGTCCCTTTAGCAACATGCCATTGCATTCGGCAATTACGGCACGTTCCTGCCAGTACGGAGCTAGGTAGCAAGGAAGTTTTGGTTTTTCTGGCCAGCCTTAGTGACACAACTTCAGCAAGGCCTGACAAACAATCGTCTTTTGAGGATCACGTACTCTGTTGACAAAATTGTCGCCCGTTTGAAGCCCTTGAACACAAGATTTAACAAATGACGAGACTTCTGAGACGGTCAGTTCACCGGCAAGTTTATTTGTTTTCATCGGCGGTCGTGAAAGAGTGTCCACCGTAATCAAGCTTTTGCTGGGAACGTACATAATTTCAAATTGATACCGTGTCAACCGCATTCTGAAGCGCTGCACTCTTGGCGTCAACAAATCGATAGGCATTTTACCGAGCAACGAGACAAGAGGTTTGTCGTCTGTTTCGAACGTCAAATCAACACCTTGTATTTATTCGTCAAATCTTTCGGCAGCCCATGTTAATGCTAGTGCCTCCTTTTCGACTTGCGCATAGCGCTGCTCGGTCTTGGTCAATGACCTTGAAGTGAACGCTATTGAGCGGCGCTCACCATTACGTTGTTTTTGGAAAAGAACGGCCCCAAGACCAAATAAGGAGTCATCCGCTGAAAAAATTGTGGGAAGTCGTGGATCATTCATGGCCATACACTTTGCCGACCAGATAAGAGCTTTTAAGCTATCGAAAGCTGTGTTCTGAGATGGACCCCAACATCATTCAGTCTCTTTCTGCAAAAGTGCCCGTAGTAGGGCAGTGATTTGCGCTAAGTTCGGCAAAAAGTGGCCTAGGTGATTGGCCATGCCGAGAACACTGCGCAATTGTGAAATATTCGAGGGCGGATTCAGCTCTCTGATGGCTCTGAGTTTAGCCAGATCAGGCTGTATGCCTTCTTCACTTAGAAAGTGACCCAAAAAGCTCATGCTTCGTGCTCCAAATACACACTTTGCTTTGTTAAGCGTAACATTAGATTGGACCAACCTAGCTAAGACATTCGATAGCCTAGAATCATGTTGCTCTTTGCTGTTGCCAGATATGAAAATATCGTCCATCAGGTTAACGATACCAGGAAGACCTGCCAGTATTTCAGACATTCTTCTTCGAAAGTACTCTGGGGCAGAAGTAATACCAAACGGCAACCAAGTGAAAGAGTACCGCCCAAACCAATGAATGTGGTCAGTAGTTCTGAGGCCTTGCTGAGTCGCACCTAGTGGAATTGTGAATTTGCGTCTAGTTTGAAAAACCATTTCGTGCCGGCAAGTGAGCCTAGTGCTTGGTCTACAGTAGGCAACGTATACCTTTCTCTTAGGACAAACTTGTTCAACTGCGTACGGTCGACCCAGATCCTTACGTCTCCCGAGGGCTTTTGTACGGGAACAACGCTGGTACACTATTTGGCTGGCTCTTCGACTGGCTGAATTATGTGCCTTTGTTCCATCTTATCCAGTTTCCGCTTCACAGGTTCCTGAAGCAGTATAGGAATCCTGCGTGAGGCGCTTGCTGCAAATGGAACTGCGCCTAGTTTTAGCCTGATTGTATACTCCCCGGGCATACAGCCTAGGTCGTGAAAAACCTGAGGGCACAAAACCTCGTATTCAGACTTTTTCTCAGCGACAGAGTCAGCGAACTTAAAACTCCTAATGCTTCCTGAGCTGGGAACCCTAGCAGTACATGGCGCAAAGGACTGATGACATAACATGTTTGGTGAGAAGTTTGCCCCTTCCAAACTATATCTGCCTGAAACTTGCCCAGAACATTTGGTTTGAGTTGTAGTGAATTGCAGCATGATTGTCAATGCACAAATTCATCTGTAGAACCAACAATAGGATTTTAATGCGTTCCACTGCATTTCTTGTGCAGAATCTAAAGCAGACTTCAGGCAGGTAGCGGCACTGGCTCTTTTTTGTTCACCTTGTTTTGCCACCCAGGAGTTGTGCTTACATGGAAAGGACAAAATGATTGCAACCAGAGTATTTACCCGACTGCAGTGATCTGTGTCATGATGAGAGTGTCAGTTCACCATAAGCCTGAGAAAGAAGACAAGTTCTTTTTGCTGCCACACTTGGAACATAGCTGTTTTCTTGAACGGTGAGTCTGGACTTGAATGACTTGTGCGTAGATTTGACTGTCCTATTGCTGAAACCAAGTTGCAGTAGATGAACACCCTTGAACAGTCAAACCTGGATATATCGAAAGAAATATGCCTGCCTTATTTTTTCCAGCCATGTTTGCTCCTTGCAGAAAGAAGGAACTTCTTCCATGCAAATAAAGTATCACTATTGTCCATTCTTTAAGCATGTCAGAGGAACGTATTCGTGCTCCTCTTTCTAGTGACAAACTTTGCTGCTGGTATCCTTGCTCTTTCTGAACCATTTAAAATTTGATATGACTTGCCCATTACATTGATTGGCCTGCAGGAAAACATTTGCCGGATCATTCTGTATACTCCCGAAAGGCAAAGAAAAGATTAGCTGTAAGTTCATCAGCCCATTGCACTTATTAAGAAGAAAACATTCCGATAGAATGTTTCGTGTGCGGGATAACTCAATATGTCCTTGTTTGACTGTACTACTTAACTTTGATGCAACACATGATGCACATTACAGCTCAAGCTGACAAATGTTAAAAAAGAAAAGCTTGCCACTGTATTTCTTAATTTAGAACCACAATCGAGAATGAAGTGCTTGTGATTAACATGATATTCCTTGCGTTAATGAAAACCTTTGCTCTATTGGTTCACTTTGCCAGCAGGGTGTTTACTTGCACAATGAACGCAACCCCTTGTCTACAAACAAGTCGAGTTCACAAAGAATCTGCCGAGCCACACGAATGTTTCCTCACAAAAGCATTATTCTCTTCACTCACATTCTATTGTGAAAAAGCTTCAGGCAATTTGGATGTTTCTTTAGTACACTTACTGCTCTTTACAAAGACTTAATGGCTGTGAAATAAACTCGGCTAGGAAAAGATTTACTACATGGGCACTCTTTTTTTTTGCTTGCGTTAACAGTGACGTTTGCTGCACTGGCAGAAAAAAGGAGGAAGGGAGGCAAACTGTTTATTTTGTGCTCAAGGTATAGGACATGCATATCACAATGCGCACGACACCAATATTCTTTTAATATCGGTCACCATGGACCTATAAAACATACACTGTAATCACAAAGTGTAATCTTCTCAGGCAGAATTTTTTTCTTACTTTTTTTACATTCTTTTAGTGCTACAAGAGCCGACAATGGCTGGGACAAACACTTCAGGTGGCAATACTATAATGAATTGATAAAGGCAAAGGATAACAACAAAAAAAAGTGCTTCTTACATAATCCAAAGCCAAGTGACAAATGAACACCATGGAAGTCAAGGACCTTAAGAATGCTACATGTGATTAGAGGCCACAAAAGAACATAAACATGCACTTTTGGTTGCCACCAGTGGAAACACAGGCTTCGTCACTGCCATAGTCAAACTCCATGTATGCCTTTCTATGTGCTGCTACGGCATCATTGCTGCTTTTATGGACGAGCTGTAGAAGTGGGCAAGCTGTCAATGAAGCTGATCTAACGTTCTAGGTGCAGGAAACACTACATCAACACTGTACCTTTTCTGCGCTTAGAATGTTTCATCAGATCTATTCGTTAACCACCAAACAAAAAAGGCGGAATGCTCAAAATGTCATACAAATGTGTTGACCCAATGGGTTTCAGCTGTTGCTTATCACATCCCTTTATTATGTGGGAGAGTATACAAAAGCCAGGTGGAACAATGCCTCAGTGAACACATGCACAGTCCAGCTGTAAAAAAAAAAAAAAATGATGGTCATTTGGATTTTTATTGTATGACATGTGGCTGTACTGGCCGATTTGAGAATGTAAAATTCATGGCAAAGGCACGTTAAATGACTGAAAGGGAAATTATTGAAGTGTATTTTATAAGGCAATACAATGACAAATACATGCCATCGATCTCACTTTGAGAGGGAAATGGTTTTCTTACATGGCCATGTTTCATGTTGTGGGTAGTCCTTGCAAAGCTTTTTTTTGTTAATCATTTGATGGGCTTTTAGTACACTTGGAAGAACAAAGCATTGGGCGAGTTGGTATCGCATTGTGGATGGGGTTTTGTGCAAGAAACCCGAACACCATGTGTATACACCTCAGAATTACACCTTGTTTGTACACATTGTGGTTTTGTAGTTCTAGATTGTGGTGTTTGCCAGAAATGAAGTGTTGTTTATGGCTGTGCCTGCGGTACCTTTGTAAAGGGTTAATGGTTTTGTGCATATCGTGATTGTGCAGTGTCGCAGGCTTGTATATATTGGCTTCGGGAAGTGACAATAAGCAGTAGGTAGTTGCGATGATGTTGTGAACTCAGGCCTTGCACACACAATGATGACTGGACGAATACATAGAAGGCTTTAATACAGACGTGGGATCGGACTGACGGGCAAGTACACATTCGAATTAAATACACTCGAATGTAGCATCTTGCTATAGTTCACTCACTGCATGTTGGGAAGCACAACGACGATGTTGTTGCGGTAGATCCAGGTGGTAGCCAGGATGGAAGCCCAGCACCTTAGGGTCCCGGGCATTGCCTAGCTCAGGACAGACTGAGCCACGGCTCGGTCACACCAGAGCACACCAATACCAGATAAACAGTTGTCGGTAAAGTCAGTTGGCTGGCTTTACCGGCCGAGAATGCAGGTCTTGCCCATGCAGCTCACTCGAGTGCCATGGCCGATTCTCTAGCACAAGCCCCATGCATCAGCTTCTTCTTTGCCGTCTCGCCTTACACTCACGCGCAATTTCCTGCGCACTTTGTATAGGCTGAATTCCTATCAGAGTAGCCTGCACTCTTTCCTGTCTCTCCTCTCATTTCGCATTCAGCTCGTGCAGCAAGTTCAGTTTTCAAGTATGAACCAACTAGTCTGCAAAAAATATTTTGTCAAAATAGCCTTTTCTTTGCTTTTGTGCATCCTTTTATTCGACTGAGTTGTTGGTTCCTGGGCTTGTATTGCCTTCTGAGCTCTCTCGATAGCATGACGTGTCTGGGACATTGCTTTAATTTTATTGCCTGTGTATGCTGAGTATATCTCATGTGATAGGCTGGACATCAACTACTTGCACAGCTCGGCAAATCGTCTGTGTAGCTTACTTCCACCTGTAGCAGGAATGTTTTTTTTCGGGTCTCCTGGTTGCCATGGTGACAAGGTGCCTGCGTAGCTGTCATTCGTTACCTCCACATATTTGAATGGCTGTCATGGCAGATGCCAGTATCCCCAGCAACCGTTTTGTCACTGTTTGGCTCTTTTTAGGTCAGGAGTCAGTGTGTAAGCTTCTTGACCTCGCAACGTCAGGTTGACAATTTCTTTAATCTCTTGCTTTTGAAAGCAGAACGGCCGTTTTCATGGTTGGGACAGATCATGGGCTCATTGCAGCTTTATTTGTGCTCAGAAAATATCCAAAGCTTAGCGTAGCTGCCGTATTTACTCGAGTCTAGGGAGACCTTGATTTTAAGCCGACCCCCCAAAAGTTCTAATCCGTAAAAAAAAAAAATTATCTCTAATGCAGGCTGACCGAAACAGCAATGACAGCATTCACAAAGAGATAACATTTATTGAACATTAAGATGAAACAAAGCAGTTGGTTCATGATGCAAATAGCTCGAGAAACATACAGCCGCTTGTCCTGTTCTGTGGGTATTGTCGCCGTTTTTTTTTTTTCGTTACTTCTACTTATTTGCATCATAAAAGATGCCGCGCTTGCCGATGCCATGCTCATTTCGACTCGTTGTCGCTGCTTCCCTCGTTGCTGACTTCTTTGTCGCTGTCTTCAAAAAGTGCCATCAAGCGCATTGGATATGCCGCACTTCTTAAAAGGGCACACAATCAAAGTTACTACGATGTCGTTTAACACTGCAGCAGCAGCCCCTCCAGCGATGCACATTTTTTTTGTTCACTCCAAAGTCTCGCCCGGCTTGAATGTTGGACGACGACTACGGGGCTAGGACAGCTTTCCTTCTATAAGCGGCATTTAATGACACCTGTTGACACCTGTTTGCTGCCATTGAGCTACGCCGCAGACGACCCACTCAAAGCGTGACTAGAAATGTTGGTGGTGGTTGTGGTTAGAAGAAGAAGAAGGGGCCTAATTTCTGCAGTGCAGTAGAGAGCACAGCGCAGTGTCTTAGAAATTTATTTACTTATTTATTTACAAATACTTTACAGGCCTTGCAGAGGCATTGTGTAAGGGGGGTCAATACGAACTAAGAACAATTTAGAATGACATCAAAAACAGAGTTGGTACACAGAAGTAGGAACAATGTAGAATAACACAAAAAACAAGCGGTGATAAGTGCTGCAAAATAATTTCTATACACAAATGAATAAATTTTCTAGTCTGTTAATTTCTAGTCAAATGATTTAGTTCTTCTAGTCAAATAATTTCTAGTACAACAAAACATAAAAACAACAGTATCACTTTTCTGATGAAATGAAATTGAAAAAAGAAAAAGAAAATGGTGTTGCAGAAACCATGACAGAAAATGGACCAGCTAAGATTCATCAGAGAAATGGATGATGAGACGCTCGTAAAATATGTTCTGATTATGCTGAAGGACGATACTATTGAGAAGATCGTTCCACAGTTGTATGGCACGCAATGACGAACGGCTCACCTCAACACTTGCCAAAAGGATCAAAATGGCGGCCTTAAGTGTGTACTTTTATTGGCTCTCTTGAAAACATTGGTGTTGGCTGCATGACTCGAGTGGCGCTCGCCATAACTATTGCAAGCGGAAATCACAATGGAGGGTGCAGACCTGCGCTCGGATAAATGTAAGAATACATGTTATCACGGAATTGCATCAAAATAGGCATTAATATTGTGTTTGTTTTTTTTCTTTACTATGGTCCTTCACTGAACGCGGTGGAGAAATGTAGCTCAGGGACTTTTTCAGCTTGAAAACTGCAATGCCGATCAAAGAATGCGCCGAACATCACGATGCTGGAGGAAACA